CTATCAAGGCTGAACTCAAATGCCACCTTCCCAGGCAGGGTTTCCACAGATCCCCGATGGAATACACTGCTCATCGATTTGCTCTCACCACCTCCTCCTCTGGTAGAGTCTGATCTCTTATTTATCTTTGGATTCCTAGGGACCCACATTCTGAAGAAAGTGTTCAATAGCTGTCTGGAATGAATGGACAGGGAGGCTGTGTTGACTCATTCCTAGGACTTTACATTTCGGTTTGCATAAAGAAGCCAGTTTAAAATGTACTTGAAGGGAAGTGAGTACGAGGCAATGTGCAGTAACTGGGGAATGCAGAGGACGGGGCATGGAATAGGTTTTAATTGGCGGTTCCACAGGTCAGGGGTGTATCTTCAGGGGCCAACTCTCCCCTTTCTTTGGCTGCTGCCAGTCTCTGCCTGTGGCCAGCAGGAAATCCACCAGAGGTGACCCCGCATCCCATGCGATTTCGTGGAGTAGAGATAAGGCTGTGCCCTTGGGGACATACTATTCTCCACCGAGGATGGAATTCCAGGCACCAAGGCAGAAGCAGGGGCAGATATGAATATTTCTCAAAACACCCTCGGGGCCTCTGCATAAGAATGGTTCTGCAGAGACAAGTCCACAGACCCTCCTTATGTAACTCATTAGAGGAAATATGTGGGTAACCAGAGTAGTGGCCGGCGGAGAGGTGAAGAAGGATCACCTTCATGTTCAAATTATCTTGAGAATCTGTCACTTCACCCTTGCAATACCTCATAACTTTGTTAGTAAATTCAATTACCGTACTTTTGATTCAACCTCTCAATCCAAAGACTGAGGTGTTTTGAAAAAGACTGGACTTTAACTTCCTAAGGCTTTTAGGAGATGTTTAACCTTTTCCTTGTCGGCCTTTCTGAGAAATTTTCATTTATCGTAGATGGCCTTAGACTAGCGGTTCTCAACCTGTGGGTCACGACCCCTTTGGTTGTCGAACGACCCTTTCACAGGGGTCGCCTAAGACCATCCGGCATATCAGATATTTACATGATGATTCGTAACAGTAGCAACATTACAGATATGAATTAGCAACGAAAATAATTTTATGGTTGGGTCACAACATGAGGAACAACTGTATTTAAAGGGTCAGAAGGTTGAGAACCTCTGCCTTAGACCGTCACTGTATCTGCAGGCATTTCTTCCCTCTTAACTCTGTATTTTTTAAAATATATTTTTTATTGATTTCAGAGAAGAAGGGAGAGGGAGAGGGAGATAGAAACATCAATGATGAGGGCAAACCACTGATTGGCTGTCTCCTGCATGCCCCCCACTGGGGATCAATCCCACAACCCAGGCATGTGCCCTTAACTGGAATCGAACCTGGGACCCTTCAGTCCGCAGGCCGATGCTCTATCCACTGGGCCAAACCAGCCAGGGCTTAACTCCGTATTTTTTTTAATGTTTTTATTGATTGCAGAGAGAGAAAGGAAGACAGAGAGGACAGAGACATCAATGAGAATCTTTGATTGGCTGCCTTCTGCATTCCCCCTACGAGTGAAACCTGGACATGTGTCCTGATCAGGAATCCAACCCTAACCTCCTGGTTCACAGGTTGATGCCCAACCACTGAGCCATACCAGCCGGATTTAACTTCCTATTTTATACTGGAATGCCCATTTTCCATCAGTCAACTTTGAAACACTGGACAAAACTAAATTCCAATGTTGGTGGGGGTAATTTTCCCAGGGATCACTCCCAGGAGGTCCCTGGTGATAGAAGGTGAACATTTTCTGATTTCCACAGCCCCCTACACTCCTCCTTCACCGTGGGGATGAAAAGATTGAAAGTAAACAGTGAAAAGGAAGGATTTTGCCATGGGAAAAATTTTTGCTTTTCTTAATATTTCTAGTTTGACTGGGAGAAAGGAGTGAATGTTATTGTTTTTAGACATCAGGTAGCATGGGGTTTGGAGTTTTCTACCAGCTATCCATCCACATGTGGAAACAACATATACAGGTAAGAAAAAGAGACTGATCACTTAATTTTTAAAAATAAAATTGATGAGATGGCAAATGATATTCAATCCTATTAAGGAGACTAAGCACAGACCTTAGAAAGAAAAGAAAAAAATTCCTTCCCTTCCTTGCATTGGGATTGTGTGTTATGGTTCCACAATTCAGGGAGATTGGAAATTATAGAACATCTACAATGAAATTGGTTTTCTGTGGAAAACTGATGAATCACTTACCGCCAATGACTAGAAAGAAAAGCACTTGTTTATACCCTATGTAATGAATTTTTATGAGGTGAAGTTTGCTGTTTATAAAAAATACACTTTAAGCTGGAGATGTAAAATAATAGAATTCAGAATTCAGAGCCATGCATTACTGCAAAGACAGTCACCAGCAGAATATTATCTGCTTACAAAACACCAAAACAGGGCTATTACTTCTATAATGGAATTAAAAAAAAAATCTCATCTACCCAGTTGGATTCGAGAGGAAAAAGTATTTAAAGAGACATAGCTGAAATTGACAGCTCCAAAATTGCATGTATTTTCAAAGAAAAGTTATTAATTCTCTTATTGTGCTCCTGAATTCCAACTGTGTTTTCCCTCAAAGCAAGAACGCCATAGAACATTTTAAATTAAAAACGGCACTCTAAGATACACTGCAAACTGGGACTGCAGGCCTCGCTACACTGTTACAGAAATGCATGGGGAAGTGTCCCCACAATTCCATCAGCTGCTCTGCTCATTTATTTGGGAGGCCTTCCTAATCAAACCCCAAACCCTCTTGTCTTTTTTAGAAAGATATTCACCCTTCTTTTTAAAAAAAAAAAAAAGTGGAGCATAGCTCAGTGGTTGAGCATCAACCTATGAAACCGGGTCATGGTTCGATTCCTGGTCAGGGCACATGCCTGGGTTGTGGGCTCGATTCCCAGTAGGGGGCGTGCAGAAGGCAGCAATCAATGATTCTCTCTCATCATTGATGTTTCTATCTCTCTTTTCCTTTCACTTCCTCTCTGACATCAATAAAAAAAAAATGTTTTTAAAAAATGGAAATAAAAACATTGAGGAGAAAGAAACATCAACATCGATCAGCTGCCTCCTGCATGCCCCCTACTGGGGACCCAGCCCACAACCCAGGCATGTGTCCTGACCAGGAATCCAACTGGTGACCTCTTGGTGCATGGGTCGACACTCAACCCAAGACACACTGGCAGGGCCCTCTTGTCTTCTTCAAACATTGTGATAGTCATTGCTTTTGGCTGTAGGGACACACACACACACACACACACACACACACACACACACACAGCGTCAGTCTATTTTGCAAGACAGACATCTAGTTGAAACTAAGGCATATTCTAGTAGGTTTGAGAAGTGGCATTAAGAAATAATGCATGCAATATTGGATAAGGGTTTTGCTCTAAAAGAATTTATTTGCCCTTTGCATTTGGTCTGGAACTAAGCCTTTTCAAAGCAATTCAGCATAGTGTATTATTTTATAATTTCTGTTGACTAAAAGGGAATTCTTACAGATGGGTGTGGATTTAAAAGAAGAGAGGCTTCCAGGAGAGGATGCTCAACATTTCTGAACGTGAAGTGAGATGTGTTTAGCAGGAACCCCTCCTGGACACCTCTCAGAACTGTAAAGCCTCTGGCTCCACTAATGCAAATTTATGACTATTTAGATAAAGTCTCAGCTGAAGTTCAAGTTTGCATTATGTCTTATTGGCAACTGGACCATAAAAATACTCTGAAATGTCAGCATTTCTGTGTCCGCATCTGGAAGGCATACGGAATCCTGGGTCAGGCCCTGTGTCTTGACTCTTAGTTGAGGAAACACTGTCATCTTATCGGCTTGGGCACACTGATAATATAACGTATCCGTGTCGCTTGTTTTGCTCTGGTCTACCAGCTCTAGGTATTTATGGTAATCGAGCCACATGTACAAATACTGTACATTTACTTACACATACAAGTACTTCTGGAAGAGGGGATGGGGACTTTCTACCTTTTTGTTGCCTAAATACTTCTAAGTGGTTAAAAAAAGTTCTATACTACATGGAGTCAGACTTAGTATCTAACTTAAAATGTATGAAATAATTCAGACTTTTTCAACAGTTGTGGGTGGCCCTAAAGGCAGGCTCTATTTATAACACACAAATAGGAACCTAGGGTTTACAGGGCCTATGTCCCAAATTCACATTTGTAAAAGACGGTTTCCTAGCTATGCAGATGTTTTCTCTTTGGATTTAACTGAAATAACACTGGCCATCAGATTTTAAAGAAAAAATTTGTTTTGACGAAATTAAAAAGTATGACATGCTTATTGTAGAAAATTTGGGAAGTACAGGAGCGATTTATTATGTCTACCTGCCCATCACCCACCATCCTGGAACCAGCACCTCAGTGCCCTGTGGCGACCTGCCTCCCCTCCTACTTCAGGATCATGTGGTTTAGGTGAGGGATGTCGCGCACATTGAGAAATGGGAAGGATTTTCCATCCTGGTCCAGTGATCCCCTTGCTTTGGTGAGTGGCCAGGCAAGGAGGTCTTATTCCGGTGGGGCCAGGGAGCTTGCAGGACATAAAGTCTTCACCTTCTGGGGGCCACCATTCTGCCTGAGAACAGAGCCCACTGAACCCCTTGAAAACTGGCTTCAGAGAAAAGCTTACAATTACGAGTGGGCCACCAGATCAGGTTTAAAACATCAGGGTCTGGCCAGCTGGCATGCCTCAGGTGGTTGAACGTCACCCTATGAACCAGGAGGCCATGGTTCAATTCCTGGTCAGGGCACATACCTGGGCTGAATCCTCAGTTGGGGACACGTAGGAGGCAGCCGATCAGTGATTCTCTCTCATCATTGATGTTTCTATCTCTCTCTCTCTCTCCCTCTCCTTCCTCTCTGAATTCAATAAAAATATATTAAAAACAAACAAACAAACAAAAAACCCCAAAACACCATGGTCTTATCACTGTCAGATTATGTTATAACACCATCTCTGGAAATAAAGGCACGCTCATCCCAGTCTCCAAAACTTTTATTTTCAGAGGCTAACCTTGTTCTAGGAAGGACAAAGTGAAGGAGCATTGTTTGTGGGCATCTGACAAAAGCTGCCCATGACTCCTGACATTGAACACTGAATGCAATCATTAAAGAAAATAACACATTACCATTCACAGAATATACTCAGAAACCCATGGATCCCAGTGATTCGATTTTAGTCAGGTCTGGCAAGGAACAGAACACAGTGGCTGAGAAGCACATGTTCTCATAAAAGACACCTAAATGGGATGCTGAGGGTGACTAATCCTAAGGATTTCAACACAAGACAGTTTTCTGCAGAGAAAACCATTTTTAGTTTCTAAAGAGCATTCACTTCGGACACCTCGATTCCTGACTTCAGCGGCTGCACACTGTGCACCTCGGCGCCACACTTAGGGCAGGTGAAGAACATGTCGAACAGGAAGCTGCTCTTCACGCAGTAGTAACAGAAGATGTGCTCACAGCCGATCGTGTGGGGCATGGTGGGCCACTCCCCGCACAGAGAACACTGCTTGCCGCTGCTGGCCAAGGAGCTGTCGCCGTCAGGAGCGCCGGCGAGAGGGATGCACCACGAACATAACTTGGCCTTCAACTTCTGGGTGTTGATGAGCGGTAAGAGGAAAATGAGAAACTCGGCGAAGCCGTGCCAGAGCAGCTCCCTGTTCATATACTCGAAGCCAACCTCACGCACGTGCTGGGGCTTGCAGAACACAGAGCGGATGCCTAGCAGGCGTTCCGTCAAAGTGGCAAACTTGCCCTTCTGGAGGAAAATCAGGAAGTTAATGAGGCTCCCTAACTGCACCAGGCCCACCACCACGTTCAGACACCGCTTGGCTTTCCCAAACGAGGCTAAGTGATGGTTTCGGAAAAGGTCGTAGCAGCGTTCTTCCAACCACTTCCCGCCGATCGTGCAGGCAGCGTACCAGAGCTTCTGGTTCTTACTCGGGGGCTGGTACCTCAGGGTCGTGGAGAAGTCGTTTTTGTACTGAATGTTTAAAACCGACTGGCCCACCGTGGCGTTTTTGGAGTAAACGGTGAATCGCCACAAGAAGAGCCACAGGAGGGCTTTCAGCTCAGGTTCAAAGCGGGCCAGCAGCCCGGGCTGGAACCCATGGAAGCACTGAGTGACCTGGGACCAAACCAGCTGTTCCAGGGCCTTGTTCAGTTCCAGTGCATCCAGCTGACTGATTCTCAGCACCCTGTGTGTGCTCTGGGCTTTGTCTTCTCTGGAAGCCATGCCTTCTCCCAAGAGCTCTAGGAGAAAGGACGATTAGGAAACATCATCAGACACAGACAACCTTGTACCGTCTCCGCAACCACTGCCTGGGAAACTGGGATACACAAGACAGGACACACCTTTGCATCGTGTCCAAACAGCACACTGAGCAGTCACCTCTTACTGGGAACTCCTTTCTCTTTTTCCTCGCATGTCCTCCTCCCTCCTTTCTTTCCTGTTTTTTTCTTTTCGCTTTTGGCCCTCCTCATCAAGGGAATAACAGGTTTTAGTAATAATTGCTTAGTAAAAGGCTGAATAATAGCATGGCTAATGGAGACATACATGCACTTAATAAATACAACGAATTATGTGGAACACTGCAATGAATGGTAAGTCCAGGCCTCAGTTTAACACCCAGCACTTCTACTGATTCCACAGGCATACTTTTCAATAAGTCATTTAATCTCTACATATTTATAAAGGAAAGTAGGAGAAAAAAATAAAGGTTTATTTTTATTTTTAAAAAAATCTTTATTCTTGAAAGTATTACATAGATCCTCCTTTCCCCCCATTAACCTCTTCTGGCCCACTCCCATCCTCCCCCAGTCCCCCAGGCCCTCACCACCCCATTATCTGTATCCGTGGGTTATGCATATATGCATACAAGTTCATTGGTTGATCTCTTCCCACCCACCCTCCTCTGCTTCCCTCTGAGGATGGCTAATGGAGACATACATGCACTTAATAAATACAACGAATTATGTGGAACACTGCAATGAATGGTAAGTCCAGGCCTCAGTTTAACACCCAGCACTTCTACTGATTCCACAGGCATACTTTTCAATAAGTCATTTAATCTCTACATATTTATAAAGGAAAGTAGGAGAAAAAAATAAAGGTTTATTTTTATTTTTAAAAAAATCTTTATTCTTGAAAGTATTACATACGTCCCTTTCCCCCCCTTCATTGACCCCATCTAACCTGCCCCACCCTTTGCCACCCTATTGTCTGTGTCCATAGGTTATGCATATACGCATACAAGTTCTTCGGTTCGTCTCCCCCCGACTCTCCCCATCCCTTCCTTCTGAGGTTCAAAAGTCTGTTCCATGCTTCTATGTCTCTGGATCTATTTTGTTCAACAGTTTATTTTGTTCATTAGATTCCTCATATGAGTAAGATCATGTGATACTTGTCAACAAGTATCTCTGACTGGCTTATTTCGCTTAGCATAATACTCTCCTGGTCCCTCCATGCTGCCTCAAAGGGTAAGAGATCCTTCTTTTTTACTGCTGCATAGTATTCCGTGGTGTAAATGTACCATAGCTTTTTAATCCACTCGATTACTGATGGGCACTGGGGCTGTTTCCAGATCTTAGCTATTGCAAATAGTGCTGCTATGAACATAGGGTGCATACATTCTTTCTGATTGGTATTTTGGGTTTCTTAGGATATATATTTCTAGAAGAGGGATCATTGGGTCAAATGGCAGTTCCATATTTAATTTTTTGAGGAAACTCCATCCTGTTTCCATAATGGCTGCACCAGTCTGCATTCCCACCAGCAGTATACTAGGTTCCCTTTTCTCCACATCCTTGCCAGCACTTGTCATTTGTTGATTTGTAGTAAGTGTTCATTATTCTATCACATGATTGCAGAAAATAAATACTAGCACAAAGCACCATGAATGCAGGAATTTCATTATTAAGATGCATCATACACTTTTGGAGAAAAGAGAACTATTATCAAAAAGGTATTCTAAGATCAGTTCACAAATTCTATTACTTTATGTCTTTTACTAAAAGACGTTAAATATAATTTGTTAGAAGTCAAAAGAACTGCAAAATACATCCTACAATAAAGTTGTATGTCTTAAAATTGGAATATCTTTACAATCAGAGCATTTTTCAGGAGGAAGACTTTGAATTACCCATGGATCCCAGATAACTGAGGGGCAGGAAGTCCAAATACAGGAAACAAACGTGGCTACTAAATAACGGGTTGTTTAGTGCTCTTTTCCTCTGAACCCAGATATATGACAGGAATGCTTCTCACATTCCAGTAACCTCACCAGTTCCCCCTTCCTGGAGCTCCGTTAAGACTTCTAAGCTGATAGTAGTGGGAACTTTGGCTGCAAGTTCTGTGAAATCCGTGCCTCATACTGGTCAGGGACTGCAGGAGAGAAAGGAGGGGGTTAGGACAGAGTTCTCTTTGCTCCTTATACAAATCTAATTAATCCCCAAGGCCTGTTCTTTGTCCAAAACATTTTTCAAACCCATCCCTTACTCTATCCCACAGCCTCTCCCGAACTTGTGCTGCTCTTGTCTCCCCTGGATTGCACCCAATGCGGGTATCTACCTTCTGACTCCTTCGGGGCATTGCCCACACCGCGATCCTTCACACAAGCCTCCTCCAGCTTCTTGCCTTCCTAATGCTTTGACCTCTAGTATAAGTGCCCCCTCTCTGCTCACTAGGGGACGTTCTATTACCTGTTCCCTTCACGGGGATCAGTGTGTTCCCATTCTTTAACTCATCCTAAGTTCTCAAGTACTGAGTGAGGCATCACTTCCTCCCGACTAGCCCAGCTTGGGTTAGCTGTCCCCTCTCGCTGTTCTTCCTCTACCTAGACCAGGGTGGGCAAACTTTTTGACTCAAGGACCACAATGGGTTCTTAAACTGGACCGGAGGGCCGGAACCAAAGCATGGATGGAGTGTTTGTGTGAACTAATATAAATTCAAAGTAAACATCATTACATAAGGTCCAGTCCTTTTTTTTTTTTAGTTTTATTCATTTCAAACGGGCCGTATCCGGCCCGCGGGCCGTAGTTTGCCCACGGCTGCCCTAGACCTTCCTGCACTGGACGTACACTACTTCTGACGGTTGCTGTCCTCCACTAGAGGACAAGGCCCATTGCAAAGATTACCTGAGTCTTGTTACAGTTGAATCTTAGCAACTAGTTCAGTGCCTGGCACGCAGGGTGCATCCTGTAAAACTAGGTAAATGGATCGATGGACAGAAAAATGTCTGGGATGGTGACGGGTAGAAAATACAAATTTCCATCCCTTAAAACTGTTTCAAATGCCCATATCCAGATTGTTGCTGATTACTCATTTCAACATGCGTTTGTTGTGCACCTTCTACTTAGCAGTTAATGTGTGGGAGCCAGTGGAAGAATGGCAAACTGACTCAACTCCTGTGAAGGGTGTAATGTAATGGGGTGATGGGGGTAAGGGTGTGCTATGTAAAATGTCAAACAGACAATTACAAGAAGACATGGTAAGTGATGTGCGATGGGAATTACGCTTATGAGCAGCAAGGTTCACGGAGGGGCAACACCTCTGCACCTGAAGGGTGAGCGATGCCAGGCTGGTAAAGGAGGTAAGCGCACTACACTAGTTCAGGCCGAGGGAAGAGCAGGTGACAAGGACTGAAGGTCCAAGGACAAAAAATAAGGTTGGGAAGAAAAGCACGAGACTCATCCTTAAGGCCCTAGTTTATCGAGATGGTAATGGGGAGCCATGGAATGGCTGTAAGAAAAGAATAAAATTCGCGTTTACACAGCTTGTCTGGCTACACTGAGAACCGGTTTGGGGCCGAAAGACCAGTTGACTGTTAAAAAGATCCAGTGAGAAACTAATGGTCTAAATTGGAAAGGTATCAGTGGGGATGGAGAGAGACTGGTGCCTCGGAAAGCTCGGAAGTGGTAGAATTGACAAAATTTTGTGAGAAATAAGCCAGGAATCACTGACTTGAGTAACTGAGTGGATCAGACCAGTTCTCTGAAATGGGAGACACACGCAGAGATGCTGGTTTGAAGGGAAAGATAATAGACATATGTGAGATCTGAGGCCACTACGGAAAAGGCCAGGAGGCAGTCATGTGGACTGGGAGAAAGAACCTGGGTGGGGACATTGAACATGGGGGACATTCTCATTCGATTAATCCAGTGGTCGGCAAACCGCAGCTCTCAAGCCACATGTGGCATTTTGGCCCCTTGAGTGTGGCTCTTCCACAAAATAACCACGTGCGGGCACGCACCTACAGTGCGATTGAAACTTCATGGCCCGTGCGCAGAGGTCGGTTTTCGGCCTGGGCGAGTCTATTTTGAAGAAGTGGCATTAGAAGAAGTGGGGGTACGTTTGCTGAGGTCGACCCCTCAGATTGAGGACGTTTTTAGCAAAGGCCAGCTTAGGAGTACCCTAATTAAGTTAATAACAATGTACCTACCTATGTAGTTTAGGTTTAAAAAATTTGGCTCTCAAAAGAAATTTCAATCGTTGTACTGTTGATATTTGGCTCTGTTGACTAATGAGTTTGCCGACCACTGGATTAATCTATTGTAAGTCTAGTTAAATGCTCAAACCAGGAAGGCGGTGATTTAGACCAGACAAACAGAGCTTGACCATGTGTAACACATTTAATGCTCTCTGTAACAATACAATATTTTCAGTTTTCCTATTTCGGCTACTGTGGCATCTCATTGGTTATGTTCACTGAGACCACACCTCTTTGGGCTTTCCATCTTCGATGCCGTGCTCTTCAACATCGCAGCCCTGCAGGCTCTGTCCTAGTCTAGCGGTTCTCAAATTTGAGGGTTTGTGAGAATCACTAGGAGGGCTTGTTAGCTTGTGGTGCCTCAGTTATTTGCATTTCTAACAAGTTCCCTGGAGATGCTGAGAATTATGGGCTAGTCCATGTCAAAGCACAACTCATAATCCTTTGGTCATCTGTTACCTACACAGCTCAACGCTGGGCGCCGGCTGCCCACTCATCCCCGGTTCACTGCGGGCTCCGTCTCATCCCTGTATCCAGCGAGGCGGTTCACCCGCACTGACTCAGGCGCTCCCTGCCTTCTGTTAAGGGATGACACAAATCCATGCGCATCAATGCATCCTCACCCTCCCGGCAAGGTGCTTGGGGTGCAGAGAGAAGACTCGCCCTGGATCACGGAAGGACCCAACCCAGGTCTGCAGGGACGCCGCAAGTGAATGGACAACTAGGCAACAACAGAGGGAGATAGTACGACAGGCAAAACACAGAATTTCAAAGACAGAAAAATAACTTTAAAGTTCACACACACACAAATTATCAATGAGTAAGAATATTTTTCTCATTTATTCTGTAATTTACAAATTTTCTCTAATCAACTTATATCATTTATGTAACTAAAACACAAACACAAAAACATCATTTTAAAAACCTTAAAAGCAAACCAAAATCTACAAAAATATTTCCCCACACTTATCATATCACCTCTTTCTTAGTTCACATCACCCCTGGGATAAAGTACAAACTTCTCAGACCCAACCTGGCCCAATTCTGTCTCCACTCCTGAGATCAGGCGACCATCATTCCCAGTGGAACCGTGAAGGAGGACCATCCAGCAGTCCCACCTCTGTCCTTTCTGAAGCACCTAACACTTACCTTCCCTATCAACTGCCCCAATGCCCTCAACTATCTCCCTTCACATTCCAATTCTATTTCAAAATTCTCTAAAAAATTCGTAACTATCCCCAACTCCCATTGTCACCATGTCTTAACTATGACCGCCACTGTCTGTGACACCCACTCAGCCCTCAACCACTTGTACTGTGGCTTCAGTCATGTGAACACACCTTCTCCTAACTTGATTATAAACTAGTTGAGGGAAGAGCCTTATCTTATACTTACTTCCCAAAGCTCCTACCACTTACACAGAGACTTGATACTTAGCTCAGTCTCTGTCATGTAAAATTCTGCAATCACTGGTGATATGTGGGGGTATGGTATGTGTAACACAGTGTCTACAATACAGATTTCACATCCCGTGGTCGGCAAGATAAGGGAAGCTCTCTGATTGTCAAAGTGCTCTTGAAACGCTCTGACTGTATTGCACATTAACATTAAGTCCAACACTACCAGTTCCCTCCCTTCATCCCACCCCCATGTTTAACTGGAAGGACTCCCCCCGACCCCCCCGCCCCAGATGAGTATCAGACGAAATATGTTGCTAGCGTTGGAGGCCAGCTGTGCCCATTTATGCATTTTTAAATACTGGAATCACAATCAGTTTCGGATTGTGGCTGATGACTATCTTACTATCTTACAGAATTTAACACAAAGATGGGCTCATAGTAGCTGCTCAATGAACGTGTTGAACGAATGCGTGGTAGAAGGAGTGAACTGGAGGGGAGAGAAGCGATCTTTTCCTCGGGTTCCTTGTGTTTAGAGAAACTGGACAGAGGGAGTGGCTTCTCAGGAGCCCTTTATTTCAAACCCCTTCTCCTGAAGGAATCATACTTAAGAACATTTCGTAAAAACAGAAAAATTTGACAGCTGCCAGAAAAGGAGACTTATCACACTACTCAACCAAGCCAACATTTAACAGTTATTATCAAAAACTTCTTTCTTATCCCTCCTGTTACAGTTTAACATTGTTTTCCCTTTTTCTCCCCAAGCCTGGCCTCAGTGCAGATTAGGAACAGCTGGGCCCAATCTCCTTGCTCCATCCGACTTGTCATGGACCAGCAGACTAGTATCAAACTGCTCTTCACATTTTCGAGTCAAAAGTCCCCAAGATTTCTGGTAAACCATACTTTCCTGTCTCTGTTCCATGGATGGCTACTGGCCTGTCCACGTCTATTTATGTTCAAGAATTTAAGTAAGCATTAACAATACCCAGATTATTGGTTCTTGCAGGTTACTATTTAGTCTAGGCTCAAACTTGAATAGTTTAAAAAAAAAAACAAGCTAATTTTTATTTTCAAAGTTGGGATCATTTTGAATGGAAACAAACAGCATCAGATTCCACTCAAATTTATTTTTCCAGAATTCCCCCAAACAGGCAATGTTTTTCCTTATTTTGCCATGGAATCTCATTCCTTTAATGCATAATCCCATCACCTCCTTCCTTCCCACTCCCCAAACTATACTAAATTTAAGAATATAAAAGGCTAATGCAAGGGAAAACATTTATGACCAGCAAAGAGCCTTATACAAATAATGAAAAGTATAATTGGCACTGAGTAATATCAGTGTTCAGTGAAGGACAGGGTATGTGAAAACGAGGTTTAAGGCTAAGTCAAGGGAAGATAAAAAGCACTGCAGCTACCAGGGCAGGCGTGATTAACTCGTCACATAAATATGTTTAAGACAAAATACTCCAGCGCTCAAAACCACCAAGGTCTCCTGCTGACATTTTACCACGAGACACGCCACACTGATTTTCTTTCACAGAAAAAACCCCTGAAATTCGTTTACTAAGAGCAGCGATACAGAGCCTTATCCCTTAAATAACTCAGGCTTTCCTTTTACGCTTTTCATTCCCTAAAATAAAACTTTGCCGTCTGTATCGCATTCTAAGACCAACACAAACGATTCTATCTCACTAAAGAGGGAAGCATGTTTCAGGATGTATTTCAGAGCCTTTATTGAGTCGAGGACAAATTATGAATGAATATATTTTATTTAAAACCATGTTATTGACAGAAATCTATCAATAATAATGTGGGTATTGTCAAGGGCCTGTCAATATTAATGTAATTATGATTAAGGGGATGACATGGATTTTTAGCTATAATACCTAGTAACATCTCCTACATTGCTGCTATCAATACACACACACACTATTATTGACCTGCTCCAAGACTCAGTGCTAGATGTATTACTATTAGGCATATTTGTCAATGCATGCTGCCTACAAAACTACACTGAAATTTACAGTCCTGTAAACTCTGTTAGCAGAAACATATGACTCCCTCCCAAGTAATCTCTCAGGGATCAAACCCACCCATCGCCTCCCCCCACCCCAAACCTTTTCCGGGTCCACAATAGTCAAATAATGTTCCATATGAGAATGTTGCTGCCACTCTCCTAAGGGTTCTAGCAATCAAAATGGATGAGTGCGATTATTCTTTTTTTTTTCCTTTTAGGGTTTAAAAAATTTTTAAACATTTTGCATTATGAGCTTACATGAATAAAGTTCTTAAAATGGGGATTTTAAGCTTTGAACTTCCTCCCTAGTATTTCCTTTGTGTGGTCAGACAGATTTACTGTACATTGTATTGAAATCAATACTAATAAATGGGATGTGTATCAAAGAGGGATTCAACAGGACCCCGATTCCCAGGACACATTTCAAACAGGAGCAGGAGAGAAAAAGCTGTGGCCGAGGCCATTGGAACACCGTGACCCCCCAACACTGTGAACAGGCCGAGAAGTCACCGTCAGAAAGTTCAAATCCCACTTCGGCCACAGACTTGCTAAGTGACTTGTCACTACTCTTTCGCTGCTCTCTTTCACCAACTATAAGCCCCGTTTCAGGGGTTTACAGATACCCCAACTGCGCTGCTTTGAGTACAGACAAGACATGAAGGATTTAAAACATTCTGTTATGGACACCAGCCCTCTAGGTTACTTTTAACTTAAAGGCAATCGTCAACAAAATCCAAATAAAAAAATTTTTTGGGGGGTGGTAATGGGTACACAACAAAATGTTTTTAAAATACATTTGAAGGAAAACTTCAAAATAGTACAAATTTCTCAAACAAACAAACAATGATAAGCACTTTGTCCTAGCAGAGGGGAGATATATATATATATAATTTCTTTTTTTTTTCTTTTTATTTGGAGAAGGAACTCAACCCAAATACTACAGGCTTCAAGATGATAATCAGTGTTACAGAGCTGAGCACCTTACCTATTTTATTTCTGGTATATTTATTCAAGTATCCAAAACCAACACAAAATACTTTTCAAAACCTTAAAACAGAATTCCCAATACCTTGAGGCCAGCTTCACAAAGACATTTTTTAAGAGGAGAGCATGGCACTCATAATCTTTTCTTCAGAAAGTTGATGCTTCTGAGTCTTAAAGAGAGAAAGCACAGTATGAAAACAGAGAACAGATGTCTGAGTGAATATGGGGGATTCTAACCATTTCTACGGTGCAGCCCAGGTCCGCCCTCAGGCTGTGTGATCCTGGACAAGTCATTATACCACACAACACTTTTCAGCAGTTAAAGAAGTCAGCAACTATAGAAATTTCACCTACCTAGGATCCTTATAGGAACTACTGGTAAACTTTGGAAGAGGAAGAGAAAGAATAAAAGAAGTCCTTTCCAGCTGCAGAAATGGTAATGCTGAACACGAGTCTGCTATCGTGAGTGGAGAAATCAGAACAGAAGACGCGAGACAGAGAAACAATCCTCATGGAGGAAATAGCAAAACAAGACGCAACAAAATTCCATCAGCTCATGAGTTTACAGCTGCAGCAAACACGCACCACTTACCAGGACTGAAGGTGGATAGTGACTACGGTAGCCAAGTGCCCTTTGCAAAATCAAGTAGCAAGTCATTTAGTCCTTACACTACGATGAAAGAGCTTCTTTCATTATTTCTGTTTTAAACAAGGAAACGGAGGCATAGAGATTAGCTGACCAGTGAGAAATCACACAGCTAGAAATAACTCAGCCACATTCTGAACCAATGTACTACACTGACAAGTGGTGATGGGCGTGAAAAACAGTGACAGCCAAAAAGGTGAACATGGGCGCTTGAGGATGGCGCCGTTGGGCATGCAGATGGGGCTGTTTTAAGAGGCTGAGGACTCCGAGATCAAGAGCACAGGCACGAACTACAGGGAAAATACCAACGCAAGGACGAACAAACACGCCTCATGCAGCATGAAGCAACCAGATCTTCAGTACTCCGTGCAGGTGGAAAAGGGCTTGAGGACCTAATTGCCTAAGAAGAGAATTCGAAGTGACGTAAAATTTTTGGAATACACATTCCATGGCACATTTCACGGCACCGGAGAGAATGTGGACTATCCACACGGGAACAGAGGTGTGTGCAATGTAACAGGAGCAAGTACCGACGGACACACAGGGTTTTCCTGGCATGCTTTACCGCACTGAATTTTCATAAAAGTAAAGATCCTCGTGTCCATTTCACAAAGACCAAAATCAAGCCTTGAGGAGATGAAGTCACCTGTGTCAGGCCAAGCTGGCCATGAGTAAATTTCTGGTAAACACCAGAGAAAGTACAGAACACACAAAAGGAAGGTAGTGGTAAGCTAGTGGGTATTGGGTAAGCTTGGATCAAATTCAATACCGCAAAACTCAAAGCACAATTCCTTCTCTCCAGGCCCGACTGCCAGTCACTCTCAGGACTGTGGATGGGAGAGAAACGACAGAACATGGCCGAGTCACCCAAGCTGCCTGGGATGGTGCCACCCACATCCCCTCTCTCTACTCCTACACATGTGGTCCGAGAACCGTTCAGAGAGACTCCCTGTACATCTGCACAGAAACGAGGCGTGAACATTCGTTTAGTGACTGTGAACACACACTCTACCCACAGCAGAGGCGCGGCCAACTCACCTACCACTGCGAGGGAAGGGTTATGCGTAATCAACACAGAGTGACGCGAGAGCTCTTGGTTTTTATGTTTTAACAGTGAGAAGAAAAAAAAAGACACATGGATGAAGTGTATCTCACCTTACTGACAGGCAGGTAAGAAGGGAGCTCTGATAAAAAGAGAGTAAAAACACAGGAACGGGCAGTTAGTTGTATAGACGGGAAGGGTTGGAAGAAGTGGTCAACAGCCCCCAATGGGAAGGACAGAGGAGGCCGTACGCTCCTCTCCCACCTCCAGCTCCTATAGGAATCACAGCCCTGGCATTTGCAGCACCAAGATTACAGGCCCGGGGCAGGAGGAGCAGTCAGGGCTCCCCTCCGGAGGGTTCTTCCACAGCCTGAAGGAACTGAAGAGGAACATGGGATGTTTAGAAGCTGCTGTTTCACAGGGAAGAGATAAAGGGAACAGCCAATGTGCTTCTAGGCTGCCCAGCCCAGGTAATCAAAGGAGAGCCCGTGATTCCGAGCAGAACTTTTGTCCAGAAACAGAGATTGTGCGTATGGCATGCACGTCCCTGTGCCGCGGGACCCTGCACACGGTGGGGCTGGGTGAGACTGCTAACATCTGTCAGGTCACCACCGAACACGTCAAATGCAAAGTACCGGCTTTCCCACTGCAAAGATGATTGCAAGCTTCGAATATAAGTGAAAATTTTATGGCTAGCATAAAAGTGTAGGGGGAATAAAGAAAAAATAAAGAATTGTGATTCTGATCATAAAGAAAGAATTAAACTTGAAATCTGTATTTATTAAACAAATGAGGTTGAATATGGACATGTTTATGGCTTTTAGTAATGAATTAACTGTGAACATGTACCTCTTATCAAAAAAACTAATACATAAATGCACCTGGAATACAAATGAATACTATCCTAAGAAAGAGAATTTAAATGCTAGAAGGGAATACAGGTCATCTAGTCTAAGATATGAATTTAATTTTCTTAACTGTTTTTCGAGCAAAATACGTAAAATAGCTGCGGAGGGTCTGCTTGCTTTGTCTCTCCCCAGAAAGCTCCAAGCAATTTCTACAGTTCTTCTATGAAAGCTATACAACCACAGGTGCAGTGCTACCCCTAATTCCTAAAAATGGGGAGAAGACGGCCTAGAGGTAGAGCAGGTCATAAGAAAAACAGTCAGGCCTGGAACTCAATTTTCTTGACTTAGTGTAGCATTCTCTTTACTACCTCGTGTTACTTCTATCCACGCCCCCCCCCCTTTTTTTTAAAGAAAAATCAACAGGAGAAATTATTTCTTTTGACTCTTCTTTCAAATCTGCTTCTGTCTCAAGCACATACAACTCTTAATTTTTCTAGATACAGTAATTGACAGTTTGGGTGAAACCAGAGAGACTATGAAGTGAGAGAGAAAAATGCAGTCGGCCAACCCACGTTTATTCTGTTCAGGTTTAACTAAAGGTAAACACATTAGGGGAAGGTGTCTAGACTATACACGGTGGTGTGGATGGAGCCTCAGTCTCCCCATAATTGCTTTTATTTTTATTTATTGTTTTAAAAATTATTTTTATTGATTTGAGAGAAAGGGAGAGGGAGAAACAAACATCAATGATGAGAATCATCGATCAGCTGCCTCCTGCACGCCCCACAATGGGGATGGAGTCTGTAACCCGGCCATACCTCAATGGTATGGATGATGCTCAACCACTGAGCCACGCTGGCCGAGCTGGATTTAAATTAAGATAAAAAACATAAGGTAAAAAAGGCCATCACGGAATACTAACTAGGGCACGTTATGCCTGAACGTTCAACAATTAGTCTTATTCTGCAAAAAAAACAAAAAAACCCCAACAAACAAAAAACACTTTCATTCACAAAATGTTGTATTTTTGGAAAATGGAACCTGAAGAAATGAACAAACAATAACTTTTAACTTCAGGCCCCGGATGAAAAATGCTAATGATGCTCATTACTTCTTATCAGACATAAATATTAAATAGAACAAACTCATCGCAAGTACTTCTATTGGAACATTCCCAGGAACTCTTCCTCCACAGGAAAATTAAAACTGCTTGTAAGTGCATCGGCTTTCACAAAGGTTGGAAACTTCAGCACACTCTTTTTTTTTCTTTTTCGGGACCCAATGCAACACTTTGCATGAACCGTCGAGCTAAGAAGTGCGGCGTGGGCGCTGCCTGCTCCACAACCCGCTCAGCTCAGAGGCAGGACCGCGCAGCGCCGCCGAGCGCGGGCAGAGACTGGGAAGTTCGTCCTAAGTCCCTGCGGGACGCGCCGAGCTCGGGCTGGCGGTCCTTTTCCCTCCTAAGGGCGCGGTCCTCACCCTCATTCTCGGATTTAGGTTTGCTTCTTGCCTTTCCCCAAATCACACTCTGATTTGCCTCCTCCGGGAAGCCAGTGACCTGGGGACTCCCGCCAAGGGCGGCCAGGACAAGGCGGGGAAGCTGGCGCCCTCGGCTGCCCGCTGACCTCGGGCTGCACTGCGGCCCCTCGGCGGACACTGACCTTGGGAGTCGGCGACACGCCCCGCTCCGCGGGACTCTGAAACGTTCTCTAGGAAGCTTGGCTTTTCCCAACCGAACCTGGGTACCCAGGCTTCCGGAACTCGCGGGCTTCCGGGGCGACGCAGGACCCGGAAGTGTCTGGGGAAAAAAAAAGGGGAACTTAAGCCAACGAGAACTACGCTTTGGCGCAGGCGGAAGGCCGGGGAAGGCCCAGCAACGACGAACTCCGACGAGCCGAAGGGCCGAAGAGACGAAGAGTACACCGCGCGCGGTGATTGGTCGGCTGGAGGAAAACCGTATTTGATTGGCAGGAGAGTCGCAAACGGGTCAGCCCAGGGTCGGGGCCGCGCGTTGACAGGCCCCGGGGTCACGGGGCGGAGGCGGACAGG